AATTCGTTCTCGAGTTATCGTGCGTACAGACAAACAGACACACACACAGACAGACAGACACGAAACTTTTTGATCATCACTGGAGTAATAGGCTTCGCTATCGCTCAGCCAATGAGGTCAGAACTTTTAAGCTTCTGTGCTTCTTGACTCTGAAGCTTAGGCGTACTTCTAGAAAGTCCTAGAAGACCCTCATCCTCAAACGGAAAACCAAAAGCCTTATGGCTTGTCAGACCATTTCGTAGGAGATAAGCTGCCACACCAGTGTCAGCAGTAACCACTACGCTCTTGCAAGTGCTTGCATGTAATCAATTAAAACATTTGCCAGTTCCACCAGGACCAGTAAGGAAAAAACACTGTTCACCACTATCATTGCAAACAGAATTGACAACAGCATCAAAAAACAAACGTTGTTCAACGGTTAACTTCTGAATCAACTCGGTTGGCACCTCGAGAGAAACAGCAAGTGGAGATACTGTGACGTCATTAAAACGTTCAAGGACAATGTGACTTAATGGAGGCAGATGATAATCTTCAAGAGATTTTCCAAACTCCCTCAATATCTCAAAAATGTCTCTGAGACATAATTGAAGGGCAAGCTCTTCATTATCTTCAACCTCGCTAAAGAAATCTGACGCAAGATCTTCTTTGTATCTGAGCCAAAGACCACCTCGATCCAAGGGATTAGCGTTACACAACATAACAGCAAATGTAGCTCGCAATGTATTTGGAAACTGCTCCCTATCAGCTTCTTCCATAAAAAAGGATTAACTCATCCTCATTTACGATCAAATTCAGAGCAGAACATGCTGACTTGAATGTTGGATGAACAATGCCATCAACAGTTTTTAAGGCCACAAAACTCGTGACATCACTTCGATTACACAACAATAAATGAATGTGATACAATTCAGAGTTCAAGGGACTGCAAGCAAGAGATGGAAGACGGCCATTAGTATGCCGCTGACTTGGCTTCCAAGCATTATATATTCAAGGTAGATGTACGCCAGACCACGTCTCGCGTAACAGGCTTCTCGATATCTCACGAAACACTGTTACGCTGCGACGCGCTTGGCATACATCTTCCTTGGCCTGCGGCGCTGACACACGACTCGGGTAGTGGGAAAATGTACATAAATGTACGCGCCTACGGCCCGTCAACGTCCTATCACCCCGACTAAGCGTGCAGGGTTTTGCTTCACCGTTACATCTTTTTCTCGAGTCTTTGGGGCAAACTCAAAGACGACGGGTTTAAGCGGGCCAAGGGCCCGCTACATCATTCGATCATGTTCTTCAGCAAATCGCGTGACAGAAATGGTCGGGCCGCAGGCCCGACCATCGCCGCCGGCAGGCCAAGCAGGCCCGGCCCCTGCCGAACGGAGTTGCCGGCGGAGCGAAGCGGAGCTGGCAACTTCGTTTGCACTGTGAAAAATATATTTGTACATGTACGATATATTTTGTAAGTTGCCATTTACAATACGAGTCGTACATGTACAACCTCCCACTGTCGCTCCATATTCGATTCCAGGTCGATACATAGGGCTAGTAAATTGTACAATTTTAGATTGTACTTGTACGACTTCTTCCATGGAAAATTTTCCTGTACCCGTACGACAATTTTTCACAGTGTGGCGGAAGGGCGGGCCTGCTTGTTTTGTTGTTGTTTTTTGTGGCAAGGTTAATTTGAATCACAGGGTCCGTGGACCATGCACTGTAAATTGAAACCGCGACTTTAAGTCATTTTATCCCGATGTACGGAATGTCTCCGTGTACAAGGCGACTTTCTCTCTTTGTCGGCCTAAACAGAGTGTGGATAGTCACCGCTCAAATGGACACTTTTGTCGCCTTGCGAGTGGCGACGAGAGCGGCCCGGCCGAAGGAGACATGTGTCCTCGCTCCAACGGCAAGGGAACGCACCGCGCAAAGGGAGACTTTTGTCTCCTTGCGGTTGGTGAGGAAGCTTACCCCGCGCACGGGCGCCTTAGTTTCCTAGGCAAGGGCAACATTTCTTACCCTTTTAGAGAAAAAAAATATCGCGGTTATCCTAGTTTCATTTCCCGCCTGTTGTCGCGCTTGATTCCTTCATCGCTGTCGTCACATTACTTATAGGCTTTCATCATGGCGGGTTGGGTTACTACATTGCCGCGAGATACGCATGTTGCTGGCAATGCCGGGAACCCAACCCCAGCCGTGCCAACTCACCGCTCACGCTTCTTTCGTAACTTACTGAGCCATGGATGCGCGATGCGAGCCAACGTGCTGGCTACTCATCATCATCACGCTCCAGCCTGTCTCCCCTGCACTGCTTGCCGCCACTGCCCCCCCCCCTTTTTCCTCCCGTCACCCCGGCGGCGCGGCGAGAAAAGTCTCCTTTGAGAGTTTACTTTAAGTTGCCGAAAAGACGGATACTTGTCTCCGTTAGAAGACGGAACATATACATCCCGGGGGCACGGCGAGAAAAGTCTCCTTTTGAAATTTCCCGAAATAAACGGCAACAAATGTACCTCGGCCATTAGAGACTTTGGCAAACAGACAGAAATGTCTCTTTTAGAAAACTGTGCATGAAAATGAACAAGGCTAACGTGAACAAGGCTACAAACGCCCATTAGTCGCGGTTTCGACCCCAAAAGTCGCGGTTTCAATTTACAGTGTGAACTTGCGAGCCAAATCAAACAGCTGGAGATCCTTCCTCTCATCAGGAAAATATGCACAGATAATCTTATCGATATTGGCACTGCAGTTGGGTGCATCTTCGGGTTTCATGATGTACAACCCATGTGTATGAGTGAGACCACGCCCTTGGAATTCGCGGTCATCTCTCCAGCTACTTTTCCAAAAATCTGTTCACGAACTATGTCAGAGAACAGTTGAGTGGCACGCATCTCATAAGCTCTATTGACAATGTCATACCTGTAGTTAGGATCAGTGCCACTACGGTTACATTCTCGTATAATCTCAGGCCATTTGGAGTTGCAAGTCAATGTCACCATCCACGATGGATGTCCCAATTTTTGGGAAACAGCAAGAGCGTCATAAAACAGATTTTTCATATAACGCGGTGAACCATAAATACCAGGTGGCAAGATGACTATCCCGCCAATTCTTCTCCCCTGTTCTAACGCCCTTGCTGCCACAAATTGACGAAGAGTGTTATAACTCTCAGCTTTGAGAGTTTCCTGATGAGAGGCTCTATACGACAACCATTCATATAGGACTATTAAGGCACCATTTATTAGGTACATGGCAAAAAGCTTCTTGGCCTCATGAAGAACATTAAAATCGGCATCACGGAATGCAATCCGATATCGATAATACTCAGCAAGAGGAGTGCGATTAGCACGCTCCTCAGCCATATCAAGATGACTAGTTTCACCATGCAAATGAAGCAAGGGAAATTGCTGAATGTTTAAAGTTCTTCGTGAAGGTCCAACTGTACCAGGGCCGTGCTCACCCGCTTCCTGAGGTCTTGGGAAATACTTGGCATCGTCCGACATTGGAGGCAATAGACCAGTAAAAATTGCGCCTACACCATCAGCAACTGGCGTAATAGTATACTGAGTACCTCTCAGTAAACGATCGACGTAATCGTCATCAACACGGACGACACGTGTTGCAGGATCTTTAGGATTGATGACTATTACTACGTCACGGAACGGACGATTTTCATCCAGTGCTCTTTGGCGTTCCTCCAATTCAATTTCCTTCGTGGTCTTAAAAGCCTTGACAAAGGAGTTGTTCTGGCGAAGGTACAATTCTAGACGTTGTAAAGTGTCATCAGACAAATAAGCGTTATGCTGCAGACCTTGTCGGCGCTTTGCAAGAATTGTAGAGTAGTTGTTCTCCGAAAAATCCATAAAATAAAATTTGACCATGGTTGGGTGGCCTTGTCTGATCTCCATCATCTTGGTAAGAATGGTTGTGCCATTTCACTTCTCCATTTACCTTTAAACTCCATAGACCGTGCTGCCGGCTTCCGACATTCTGAAAGTCACCACTAACAAAACTTGTAGCAAGCAACTTACTATACTTCAGAATGTTTGATTGAAAATTCTTAGCAAGTGGAGATTGTCCACGAAACAATTCAACAATATCATCTGATGGAGCTTTAAAACGTGAAGCCTCACTAAGCGAAAACTTTCCATAGGTGCAACACTTTAAGCCAGCATCATTGCGAGTCCTCGACAATTCCGCCTTCCAATATTTTGCACCGCAATGTGGACAACAAACGTCACACAACTCAAAATCAAGAGGTACAACTTTGCTAAGGTCTTCATCCCCAAACAAAGCACCAACCATGTATGTCTGCCTTTTATTAGGTAATCTTCTTGTGAGTGGTTTCTTCTGAAAAGTGGAATGTAATTTGTCGACGTTCCAAGGTCGACCAGCTGGACGACTTAAATTAGGACGACTTTCAGAAGATGGTGCTATTACACCAGGATTATCGACATCACTGTCAGTGAAATCGTTCAAATTATCCATCCACTCTTCATCAACTAAATCATCCCCAGACAGATAAAAATCGAAGTCGTCTTCATTAGAAGAACTTGATACGTCGGAACTAATCTCATCGTCCGAAAGATGAAAATTAAACTCAAATTCACTTTCTTCTGAATCAGAAAGAAAGGAATCGTTACAAAAACCAGAATCTGAATTACCAGGAACATTTTCCAGTTCCAAAAAAAAGCTCTCTAACTGTTCGACGAACATTGTAGGGACTTCGGAAAGAAATTGAAAGTGAGCAGCCTCAGTAAGATGGTTTGTAACTCTAATTGCAAACTTTAGCTGGTTGTTAGAGTTGCCAAAAAAATTCATAGCTTGGGGAGCAGGAGCATGAGGTGTCTTCTGACCTTTTCGAACATTGATGACAGCAATATTGACCTTGAAAAGGTTGCTTGCTACACCGATTTCAACATCAGTTGCATACTCTCAGCAACTATTCTGATTTCTCTTAAGGTTTTTCGTTTTGTAATGTTGAGCATCATAAATGCAAACGCCATCAAACAGCAAAAAAAGCTAACTCTCCCAATTAACTAATATTTCTTGGATGATGGTTTCTCTTACTTGAAACACATCCCTTCCTAGAGAACGTGTCAGACATCTGTAACAAGCAGGCCCGCCCTTCCGCCAAACGGAGTTGCCAGCTCCACTTCGCTGCGCCGGCAACTCCGTTCGGCAGGGGCCGGGCCTGCTTGGCCTGCCGGCGGCGATGGTCGGGCCTTCGGCCCGACCATTTCAGTCTCGCGATTTACTGAAGTGCATAATCAAATAAATAATGTGACCGGTAAATTACTTTGCATATTTGAGTAAACTAAAGCGTTCGACGGGGGGCCTGCGGCCCTAGAGATTTGCTCCTTGGAAATGACAAAAGACTGTAACGGGGCAACACCGTGACTACACCCCACCCTTCTGCTTTGCTTAAAAATTAAAAAAAAACGAACCCGCGCAGTTTTTAGATTGTGTATTGTTTGTCAAATTGTCTTATAACTTGACTTTTTGCCATTGTTTTCAATATATCCACCTCTAGGGCCGAAACAGTAAAAGATACGGCTAATGCGAGGGTAGTTCCTGATTCAGAATGCATTGTTTTGGGGGGGTACTCCCTCTGACATTTTACGATTGGACGCCTCCTTGTACGTCTTTATGTGCAGCGTGGTCATTTTCACCGTATTTTCGTCGAAAAAAGCACTCTACCGCCCAAACGGTTCAAGATAGAGTCAAACGGACAACATTTTTGCCCAGAGGGCTCTACTTTCACGAATTACCCCTTAGGAGACCATAAAAAAAATGTTTTTTTCCTACTTTTTGGACCAACCCCTATTTCTGTGTTACCCCCTTTCACCCCCTTAGGGGTGGTTGCTAGGATTTGCACCAGTCGTTTTGTTGTCCAGGAGTGACCCCTAAGATACCCTGAAATTTGCAGACCTCTAGCTCATCTCCTTCCTCTTACACGGACGACGGACAGACAGACGGACGGACGGACGGACGGACGGACACGAGAGCGGTTGCATAAGCCCGCTTTAATGCTTTTTTAAAAGCAGAAGGGCGGGCTAAAAACAGAGACCATTTTCGCGAACATTAAACTAGCTATATGTACGCCAGACCACGTCTCGCGTAACAGGCTTCGCGATATCTCACGAAACACTGTTACGCTGCGACGCGCCTGGCACACATATAGCTAGGCCTGCGGCGCTGACACCCGAGACGAGTTAAGGAGAGGGTATAGGGGAAGAGGGCTTTTCGGGACCAAAATTTGACATACTCGAACTATTTGTCGGGATCTCACTCTAAAATTAGGGACATGAAACTTCTGCTGTTGGTAACGGTTTTCATTAAATGTTCGAATTTTGACAGATTGTTATGTAAAAATCAACGTTTTAGTGATACAAGATAATCTTGGGACCCTTAAGCCCAAAATAGAGTGCGGTTCGACCCGTTATAAGTGGTGTAAGTATTACTCCCTTTACAATTCTGTGACATACAGCCTTTTTAACGATTAAGTAGACCATTTTGTCTTTATCGCGTTGTTTTCGCCAAGAAATGCCCCATAGCGCCGAAAGGGTACAAGATAGAGCTAAACGGACGAAATTTTCGTGCGAAGGGCTCTACTTGCACGTGTTACCCATTAGGAGCCCATACAACAAATATTGGATAAAAATAATATTTTGGGACCTGTGGTTTTTTGATGTTTTAAGAAGGCAATTTTTGAGCTACAATGCTCATTGCCGGACTCGATCTGTCTTTTTATGATACAAAATGACCCTAAAATTCACAGATCGCTCTCTTATTTCTTTCTCGAGTTATCGTGCGGACAGACAAACGATCAGACAGACAAACAAACAGAATGAAACTTTTCCGGTCAGTGGAGTAATTGGCTTCGCTAATCGCTCAGCCAAAAAGTGGGTGCTGGTTAATTGGCAATAACCAGCCCCAGACTAAAATTACGTGCAGGACGAACGTTTGTGTCGAACCGCAGTAGTATCCATGTTCCTGTAAAGAAAAATTAAATCAGCACATCTTACAAAAAGCACGTACATACTCCAAAAAAGAGAAACGTAGAAAACACTACCCGAAATACAATTAAGGCTTCTAACCGAACCGAAGTACAATGTCAATGAACCTGATCAAAGTAAAAATGGAAGGGTTTAATCAAAAGAAAGTGGCCGCACGCCCTAAGGTAGGACACCACCGTCCCGGCCTCACGCTCTTGGTAACGGAGGACGATGCGCTGCAGCCGGTCCGTAACATCTTTGTGCTTCTTCCGTTGCGGCTCTCGCATGGGGCGACCGAGGTCCAGCTCCCTGATGTGGGACTCCGTGGTCGCCTGCTCCTTCCGCACGTCTCGCTCAAAGGGCGAAGAATGTCGGGTGGGCCTTCCCGACGAGGGCGTTGAAGCGGCGACGCAAAGGTGTTACGTAGATAGATCGAGTCAGTCGTGTAGGAGACACCTAGCATCAATTAATTACAGCCCAAGGCAAAGGTTTAAGTGTTCAACAAATACTGTTCCAGGATTATTGGCTGAGCGATTAGCGAAGCCTATTACTCCGTCTGGTCAAAGAAAAATTTGTCTGTCTGTCTGCACGTCTGCCTGTCCGCACGATAACTCGAAAACGATTTAAGCTAGCGACCTGGGATTTTCAGGGTCGTTTTGTGTTATAAAATGACAGATCGAGTTCAAAGATGAGCATTCTAGCTCAAAAATTTGATTTTAAAAAAATCAAAAACTACGGGTCCAAAAAATTAAATTTTTTGAAAATATTTTTTTTTCTGCTTTCCTCTCGTGATAAAACGGTCCTGTGCACAACACGTGCGAACCGCGTGCACAACGCTTGCAAACAGCACATGGTGTGCCCAACCCGTGCACAACGCGTGCACTAACATCACGGTGGAGGGAGAGAAGGTGGTGGCACGAGGGGTCTGCTCGTGGGTCCAGAATCTCGACAGGTTGGGGGATTAACGCCCTGGTCGGGGCCAACTGTAGGGCGCGTTCGCACTACCTTCAGTCGGGGCGGCCGTGCAGGTAAGTAGGTGGGAAGCCCAGACTCAGCTTGCGCGGGACGGGCTCCTACCTGACTATCTCTCTCGCACACTCCGGCCGGGCGGGCCGGGCGAGGGTCGGTGCCGCTCAAGCTAAGTCGGGGCGGCCCAGCTACCTGCATAGGCCGCCCCGACTGCAGGTACTCTGTACCGGCACGTTAGATAGCCCCGACTCGGCCGTTAATCCCCCAACCTGTCGAGATTCTGGACCCACGGGTCCCTATGCTGGGAGACCCTCGTGCCGCCACCTTCTCTCTCTCCACCGTGACTAACATTCTGTGCACAACTAGATTGTGCACAATATCTGGCCCCCCTGCAGCAGGATCGGCGGCAGTCGCAGGTATATGTATGTGCGCATCGCGAGCACAAGGCGCACATATCCATTGGCCATAGTCCTGGCTACGGTTTCAATTTATTCTGAATTTTCTTTATTCTCCCCCCATTTTTTCTGAAATTTTCCGATTTTTTCCCGACGATTTTGGAGAGAATTGGCGAAAATCGGCCAGAATCGGGAAAAATCGAGGTAAACCGGCCATAATTAGGATCCCTCCATAATCGTCGGGCCAAAATTTGGAAAAGAAATCAGTAAAATTCAGAAAAAAATAAGGAAAAATCAGAAAAAATTAAAACCGTAGGCAGGACCTTGGTCAATGGATAAGTTCGCCTTGTGCTCGCGATGTGCACATGCCGCCGGTTCTACTGCAGGGGCCCGATCTTGTGCACAATCTAGTTGGGCACAGAATGTTTGTGCACGCTTTGTGTACGTGTTGTGCACGCGTTGTGCACAAAATGTGCACGCTGTTTGCACGCGTTTCGCACGTGTTGTGCACAGGACCGTTTCATCACGGGGACGCTTCATCTCATCTGA